AACCCAATGGCGGGAATGAATCCCATGGCCATGATGATGAATCCCATGGCTGCCAGCATGATGATGAACTCCATGGCTGCCAACGGGGATCAGGAGAGCAGTGATTCGGAATCAGAAGCTCCTCCTCCGAAGGCGCTGCCTGTGGCTGCCCCTCAGGTGGCTGCACCACCTTTGCAGGCGCCAGCGCCACCACAGCCAGGACAGGGGAACATGGGCCCAGTGGAGGATAATGAGTTGGATCAAATAGTCACTAGGAGCGCGTCGTTGTTGAAGAACATTCCTCGTCGGTGGCTCTCGGAGATTTGTGAGCGGTTGGATGCCGCTTTCGATGCCACGCTGACAGCCAACCTGTCCGTGACGGGCTTGCTTGCTTGCATCTACTTGTTCACTCGAATGCGGCCATGTGTTCAAATGTCGGTGCTTCGAGCCTTGCTTGCAATAAAGTAAATTTTGCTTGGGGCGATTATCACCACTTTTTCATTTTTTAAAAGACAGATGATATTGAACAGACTGTTTTGTTTGAATGGTTGATACTTGGGAAAAACAAATAGCATTGGGCTCTTACTTCCAGACTTGACCATATTCTTTTGCCAGCAATATCATCCATCTTATCAGTCATGTGCCTGCAAGGAGCTCGCACTTACAGGGAGCTCATCAACAAGTTGAAGACCTCTTGTACAAGGGTGGTGAATTCCATGGGTGGCAAGGAGGAGTTCACTCGGAAGATCCAAAGCAGGTTGTCCCTTGTCTTGACAGACTACGAAGTGGTTGGCCTAGCTCAGGAGTATGGGTGGACTGATGACTGGATGGCGGTGACTGCAAGGAAAGCCAAGGCAAAGGCTCCAGCAAGCCACAGCATCACTGACGCCATGGCAAAGGCCGCCATGGTGGGCCCTCCTCCAGGGCCTCCACCGGTGCCAGCTCAACAGAGTGGTGAAGTGGCTGGGTCTGCTGCGACTGTTGCGACTTTGCAGCCACCTCCAAAACCGAAGGGACCTCCTCCCGTCTTTGTTGCAGAGGCTCCAGCTCCAAAGACTCCCATGCCCAAGGCATGCATGCCGAAGACTTCAGCTTTGCCCCCAGTGCCACTACTGAACCCTGCTGCTCCAACACCTCAATGGAGCATGGCAGGCTTGTTGGCGACCGCTGCGTCCAAGAGCTCAAGTGTTGTCGCACCACCGCCACCTGCTTCTCCTGAGCCTGAGCCTGAACATGATGCAGGAAATGATGATGATCACCGCTCAGATACTACTCTGGTCCTGGGATGCAGTGAGGATGGACAAGGAAGCCGTGACACTCCAGTGGGCCCCAATCGAGATGGAGATGAGACAGGACGCGCTGTGGAGTACCCCTGGTGTGTGATTTGCCAGGAGCCAATGAAGGTCCCTTCCCAAAATGCAGTTATTCCGTGCGGGCATGTGTTCCATGCTCAGTGCGTCCAGCATTGGAAGGAAGTGGCAAACATCAGTGCAGCCAATGCCTGTCCCTTGAGATGCCACCAACGTGCTGGCCGTGGATGGTCAGATGTGTTTGCTTCCATGGCCCCTTCCTCAACGACGATGCACAATGGGTCAGGCAGTGCATCGTCAACGATGGCAGAGGCGCCTTCTACCAATCGTGGACAAGATGGTGATGATGATGTGGTTGTCCAGGAGGACAGCGACGGTTGGGCCATGGAGGATGAGGATGAAAGCAATGCAGAAGAGGCATCTGAGCAGTTTCTTTGATCAGACTGAGATCTGTTTGGTGAGATGGGCAACAAAAAGCCCTGGACTGGATTTTGGTCAATGCCAAGTATCATATTGATACTGGTCTTCGAAAACTGCAGCAACACTTGCCACAGCTGGGTTGCGACTCGTGGGCATGTTTTTTTGTAGGATTACTATAGCTACTTAGTTAACTTATTTTCGAGTATGTGGTTGATGAAGTGATCATATCATGCAATGTCCACTTGTATGAAAATAAAGATTGTGTTGGGGCCCAAGTCCAATCTGCCAAGGTCGTACCAGTTGCCACAGTTCGATCATAACTATCTTATGAGCAGACGCCTGCTTTCTTAAAAGCAGCTGCTGGTGAGCCCAGAGATGCAGAACCGCGGAACAAAAAGTTTTTTGTGCGATTGTGGTCCATGATTTTAAGTTTCATTTTCATAATTTTCATGTAGAGCATGATCATGTTGAGGTTTGTCACCTTAAGGTATCAAGAAAGTTGTTGGTAAACCCAAGCATTTGCAATAGTGCCTCAGCCTTGGTGTATATACTGAAAGCTGTTGCATATTCATGTTTGGATGCTTCGGCAGCATTGTCCATGAAAAATGTGGAGGCGAGTCAAACCTTCCACCTGGCAAGAGCTGTGTCTTGCCGGACCTGGTTCCAGCGTTCAGTGTTGGGCTCAAGATGTTTCACCTGATGCTTGGCAAGTCTGTTGTCTTTTTGAATGCGGTTTGAACCTTGCATTATGGTGTATGTTGACTGGCTCACGTACTTCATATGTTGATTTGCAAAAGTGGATTCTTCAGCACTTCAGGTGTCACTTATTGATGCATCACTGTCAGATTACTTCACTCAGCATTACATTCCAAAGAGTTTGTTTGCTGCATTTGCGTGAGCTTTGGTTCATGTGTTCAAATGTGTCTTTCTCTTCACTTCTTGTGGATCGATTTTTTGTTTCCATGCCAGTAACTCCAAGATCACGATGGGCAGGTGGGCTGGTGAATTGTCTTGTGCCGCAATGGTTTGCATCACAGGCGTGACTTTGCATATCCCAGGCTTTGCAACTGAATCTGCTGACTGAATTTCATGTTACATGGCCATTTGATCTTTTGCCATATGTTCAAATGAAAAGAGTGTATCATATGACTATGTTTCACCTGGCTGCTGCCGAGTGAGGACGTCATTTGACCATGTTGCTGCTGCTTTTTTGGAACGAGTCACATTCTCACATGACACATGGCATATGTGATATGTTAAATGCAAATGACACATGTCCTGCAACGCGACCAGATGAGGAGAAATCATGTGCGGTTGGAGAGCGCAGCACTCTTGTAAACACCAGACCATATGTCGTGGTTAGCGCCAGACAATGAACCTTTTTACATGTTGACAACTGGACAGCTAGAAGCATTCAGAAATTCAGCTGGCTGTATCTTGTCCAGTGACTAGGGTTTCTGGCCCCTTGCCAATGGAAGACAATGACTTGGGCAATCCGCAGCTGGCGGAAGAGCCATTGGTATGGAGGCACCCGCAGGAGCCCATCCTGACCGTCGAGGGCTCCACGCATTTGGTGTTTCTGCAAGGCAAATATCCGTCCAAAGTAGCTTATCGCGAAGGCCAGGGAACTATTTTGTTCTGGGACCTTGGCTATCTTTGGGATGTTTTTCGTGAAGAAGCTGAAGAGCGTCAAAGCTCCAAATTTCTCAACGACTTTAAACGCCTTGCCATGTGTGATGAGTTGGAGAATGAGCTTCACATTCGGGGCAAGGTGGACAGGTGCGGCTTTGGAAAATTGACTTTTAGTTCACTTGAACAAGACTTGGATGATTGGAGAGTAGCTTTTATTTATTAAACACTTAACAGACAGACAAAATTGCGACACGAATCAGAAGCTTCATGACTGCCAATGTTTCGTGTTATCTCTGAAATTCATACAGTTTAATTTCTGCCCAATGAGAGCCCATGTGCAGGCCAAATGCTTTGAGCGCAAACTGTGCGGCAACTGGTTTGGTCTTGACATACTTAAGTCGAGTGGCTGATGTTACGCGCACTACTTCGAAAATGCAATTAGCTTTGGGCTACCTCAGGTTCGTCGTTGGACTGGCTGTGGACTTGTCTTGGGAAAATAGGGGCTTGGACCTGGGTGACATGGTAGATTCAGCTGGAATGGTCACCAATTTCCAACAGCTTCTTCGGCAAAAGCATTTAGCCGTGGTGGACGCGTGGAGACAGCAATGGGAGTCCATGAGGGAGCAGTTGTCCACGTCTTGGCCAGAGGGCAATGATCAGCCCTTGCCTTTGCTGGATGTAGCCATGTTTTTGACTTTGGCCAAGAGAATCAGAAGATCCCAAGGAAAACAACGCTGGAAGAAGATAAGCGGTGATTTGGTGGAATCCTTGTTGAAACAGCTTCTGAAAGGTCTTGCAGATGTTCTCCACATAAAGATTCTTTCGAATTTGCAGCTCTACCGCGCTGGCCCTGATGTGCAGCTCCCTTCGCGCAAATATTCCAGGACCAATTTTATCAGTTCGCTTGCGTGAAAGAGAGAGATATATCATGAATGGTTTAAAGATGGATTCTCTTAGTCCTGGGGCGGATCCCTTTTAGCCTGCTGGTTGTGAAAGTTGAGTTTTCTCACCCCTGACAAGGCAACTCGAAGAAGCGGATGAACAAGCAATTGTGGGAGAGAGCGGTGCCATTGGAAACAGTCCTGGCAAGAAGGTTACCAAACGATTGCATCCCAACGAGGTGTGGGACTTGGTATGTCAAGCTCAAGATGAGCACCTTAGCTTGCATCGGTTGGCCAAAGTGAAACGCGGTAGCTCCGCAGGGTCTGCTTGTGCTTGGCAGAACAAGCTGCTGAGCATGTACTTTGCACGTACGCAATTGTTGTTCAAGTTTTCCCGACATCTGACACTTATCACAGATGGAAGCACCCACGGAGGCCGCAACACAATTGTTACTGTAGCCTTTGATCCTCTCTTGAACACTGCGGGATTTGCCCCGTGCCAAGCCCTGTCAGCAGCCAAGTGCGTTGGCCCTGGCGAGTTCGATGTCGAAGATGATGTTGAGCGGCTTCTGGCTAGACGAGAAGCGGACCGTGTAAGCAGCTACCGGCTGCTCCAATCGTTGAGCTACCAGATCTACCTCATCACAGCTGGGAACTTGGATTTAGAATGTTTTCAAGTACCAGTGACCTTCAGCAAAGCCCTCCAACGAATGAAGCCTGGTTGGAGACGAGTGGTGTTAAACAATGGCAACCTCAGAATCTTGTTCTCAGATGGCAGCTCGGAGATCTTTGATGTGAACATGGCAGTGAACACTTTGCCATCGCTAACTGTGATGCAAGACCAGGGATCTGTCGGCGCAGCAGGATTTGCGTTTCTGCTGGACCAAGGGTTCATGATACACACAGAGTTCGACAAATTCCATCGCCTGCAACGGGACATGAGATTGAGCCAGGAGCGGTCTGCCCAAGCTTGCTTGATGCAGGCTCAGGCTGCATCTCAGTACTGGTTTGGGGTGAACTACAAACCCTATGGCAGTGGAGCCTTTTTTGTTGAAAAAACAGAGGCGCTACAAACCTTTCTCCGTTCCGTTTGTGTTGTGCCTTGGCTGCAGTCACATCATGGTTTTGGGATGGTATTGAACCCGTGATACTTCAAATGTCAAATAAATGTCTTTTGTGGAATCGCTTCACTTTTGCTTTTCTGTGTCCAGTGGTTACGGTTGATTTGCCTGAACTAATTGGATCAGCGAGTCTAGCATTTTTGTTGCGACTTCCGGACTTGCACACTGACTTATGCCATGCACTCTGTTCAGATGTGGTTAAATTCAGTGAAATGTTTCGTGTGATTCGGTGCGAACCTGTGCTGCGACTATCATGGCACTAAATGGCTTACCATGCTTGAACAATCCATGCCTCTGCAGCTTGTTACAAGATTCTAACATTGAATTATCAGTTTTTGTGTGAGCCTCTCTTTGGCTCCCGGCTGCATTTGAAATGAGCAGTTGCTTTCTTTTACTAAGGATGACCCTGTCGTCCAGGAATACATTGACCGCGTTGGCGCAGACTTCCAAATGCCTACTGTCACGTTTGAAGATCAGCAAGCTGTCTTGGATTCTTTGTGGCAAAACCTTGTTTCGTGGAGGCTTAAGTCTGAAGCTCCCGAATCGAGCAGGTGGTTTTCGTGGCTATCTGCTGCGCATCTCCAAATGAGAGAATGGTGGGCCTCACGTATGGTATTGCGGTGGTACTTGCCAGAAGCAGAGGATCCTGACAGAGAAGACGCAAAAAAGTTTCAAGAACTGAAAAAGTCTGGAGTTGGCGGGCTCCACTTGGGATTCCAATGTTTATCCGAAAGATATTGGGAGAATTGCATGATTTTGTTGGTGGCGGGTAGGCCTCTGTGGTCTTACTACTCCGAGCAAGTCGAAGAAATTCAAAATGCCGAAGATGGATTCAAATATGCTTTGCACATGGAAGCCAACTGGCAGGCATGCGCTCAACTGGTGGAACTCGCCGCCTTGGTTTCTACAGCTGGAAAAGATGAATGGAAACCGGTTGCCAGATGGGCAATCGATGAACAAGATTTTTCCTCGAAAGCTTGGACTTATGTGGTTGACCTTTTGGAGCACAGGGCAGGAAGTTTGGCAAAACATTCCTCGGGGTGTGCAGCCTATGCTTCGCTGGTGGAAGGGTCTGCCGCTGGCCTGTGCAAATTCAAAACAGACTTCTGCTTACTCTTGAGCTTCGAAGGATCAACCGCAGACTCTGGCTCTCTGCTGGAAGACCTACATTTGGTTTTTTCCGCGCCCCTACGTTTGGTGGCAACTGCGCTTGAAGTCCATGGTTGGGAGCTTTCTGCGAGAACTGTGCCTGCTGTGCAGATGCTTCGCTCGATGGTCTTCAGTGTTCCAGACAGCAAATTGATTGAAGATGTGCACCAGAGGTTACGAAACGCTCAAAAGGCTCGACCAAATGACAGAATGACGCCCGCGTGTGTGCAGCAAATCTGCAATCATTGCAATGTGTTGGACAGCAGGAAGATTCGACACGGCCCAGTCATCACAAGGAAGGGTTTTTTTGGAAAACCTTCGCAAAACAAATCGCCATTTCCAGCCTCGCAAGCATGGCAGACCGCGCAATCACAAACTTCATGCGAAATTTGGTCACATCATGAAGAACCGAACTTGGCCTGCTCTCACAGAACCAGCTTTGGTTAGATCATCTGCTGCTTGGTCTTGGTTGCGTTACTACTCAGCAGAAAAGCTTCAGGATTCGATGATTCGCATCAAGGCGGGGTTCATTCAAACTAGCTTTGGGGTCCTGGAAATGGTTTCTGTCTGTTTCCTGATGTTTTTTTTAAACACCAGTTCCTGAGGCTGGCCAGCTGAATCTGCTGTGCTTTACTGGTCTCGTGATCAACCGTGTAGATGATGCAGCTGGTCGCTATTACTTGATTCTGAACCAGCATCAGTGGAGCACATTGGTCTGGCCCCTGAAGGTGATTGACAACATTGATGTCCACCCTCGTTGGACTTGGCGCTATTGTTTCAACCCAGACTTGCAAGTTCAATGGCTTTGCGTCTTTGACCCGGAGTACTATGAAGTGCAACCGACGAAGGCCTGGTGGTGTGATGAGCAAGGCTTAGTCTTGGTGCAGACTGGTGATCCCCAGCCTTTGGTCAAATATGTCTTGTTGGAGAAAACAAAGGAGCTCACAAACAAGTCACTGCAACTGATTGCAGAAGGCATGGGGATTGAGAAACCGCAAAAAATGACTCGAACAAGTCTACTACAGATCTTAGCGGGGCAGCAAGGCAACAGCTTCTATGTGGATTCGGTGCTTGAAAGGGATAGCAAAGATAAACCACAGAAACAAAAAATTCCAGATGAGTTCACAGATTTTGTGGATGCGTTGTTCGGCCAGATGGATTCAGATGAACGAGTAGATTTTCTAGGCCTTCAAAAGACGAAAGATGAAGACTCTCCTGTCCAAAAGAGGAAACAGTGGAATAAGTGGCTCAAAGAGAAACTGGCAGAGAAACAGGCGGGGTCTCTCGTCCTTGCTGTCCTTTTGTGGGCAACAATTTCCATGAATAAATGTAGCATGCATAATATTGGACGAAAACATATTTGACTCTTGCTGACTCTTTTTAGACCTGTGATCTCATGCCAGAATTGCAGGCTAAGAAAGCGAAGCGGCAGGCCAAAGCAAAGGCCAAAGGCAAAGCGAAAGCCAAGAGCGCTCGCAAACGTAAGAGAGATGATGAGGATGATTCTGCCCATCGTCATGATGATGATGCAGATTTGGCTCGTCCAGATGCCGGTGTGTCAGTGTCTGACTGTGGCGGGCAAGAGCCAGAGCAACTTGGTTCTGCTTCGCCACAGCAGAAAGATTCTACTGCAGATGGTGGTTTTGACTTTGGTCCTGCAGCGAGTGAATCGAATCATGAACTTGTGTCTGTGGGCATTGATGCAGTTGGTGGGTTGGAGCCATCCTCTTCGGCCAGCGCTGCACCAGCGAGCCCTCCGCAACATTTTGCGGAACATGAACAGGAATCAGTGGATGAGAGGATGGAAATTGCACATGAGCCTCAGGAACAGCCGGTGCAGGCGCCTGCAGCTGCTCCTGACCTTCAAGTGGAACCTGAGCACGCAGCGGCCCCGGAAGAACCACCTCAACCCGGGGCGCACAGGCATGTTGGGCCAAAGGTGCACAGCACACCGGCTGAGATCATGAAGTTGATTGAGCCTTGTGACAAGTTCCGAATTTTTATTGACAAGAATGCTCACCGCTTCAAGGTGGAAACTCGGGTGAGTGATGACAGGTTTAATGTCGCTCCGTACAAGGGAAAGACTTTCAACCGTAGTTTTTTGAACTGTTCCTGGAGATCGGCCTTGAAGCTTGTGCATCAGCATGCCTGGCTTAAATGGGCTCTTGTGAGAGACACTTGGCCATGCGACAAAGACGAGCAAGACCCAGGTGTAGTACCGGAGAATGTCTACCAGGCATTGGCTCCAATTATTGCTGAGATGCCTCAAGCTGTCAAGTACCCAAGAAGCAGTTGAAATTTTTGTCGATGTTTCGATTTGCACAGATGCCAGATGTGGCTGCGTGTTGCCCAAGAAAGAGGGCCGCGTTTTTTGAGAAACATTCTGTTTGAAATTGCAACATCGCCATGTTTTGGAGCCATGGGCAGTGGACAGACCTTCAACTGAGTGAAAATTTTCGCAGTAACAAGTTTTGTTCAGTTTTGGGTGATTGTTTTCATATATGCCCATCTGTTGTGATGTGTCGAAGCTTTCACATGATCACATGACATATGACATGAGAAACCACCTGCCCATTTGCTCGCTTGCACATCATGAGCGGCTTGTGCAGTGAATGCTTAGTTGGCTCATCAAGGTCTGCGATGTTCCCTAGCATCAATCAATCAGAGGCTATTTTAGATTGAATCTAGTTTTCTGTTCAAGATTCTGCACAAGTATTTATCATAATATGAAACATTGTAATGGCTGGCCTTGGGCTGCATTTTCCCATGAGGTTGTCATGTCACATTGACATATGGCTTTGAAATTATTGACAAACACAGCAGTCGCCCTTCAACAAGCATTTTAGTGTGTGCCCCAGCAATGCCGTCTCGACATCGCAAGACGAAGAAGCATAGTGAAAAGAATGCTGGCGCAACCTTGTGCCCCTGGCTTCCGCTGATGCTAGCCTCGGCTATGTGCTTCAGTCCGTTGAATATGTCTGACAAACCAAAGAATAAGCAAAAGATCAAGAACAGGTCCAAGCAGGACTTGCCGATCACTGGGGAGAGCGGACATGAGGCAGTACCCGGGCAGGTTCAACCTGAAAGCGAACCTGCTGAGCAGACCTTCTTCCAACCAGATGTTCCTGTGCCAGACAAGAGCGTAGACAAAACTGTGAGGCGCATTGAAGCGAAGTTCAAGCAATCCTCTGCTGGTGTATCCTTGGCCGATTTTCATCATGATCGTCCTGCTGGAAGGCCATGGTTGGGGGTTTCTATGGGTTTTTTTGTTGTCGTCCCAAGCGTTTTTTTGTGAACTTTTTTCCTGCCGTCATTGCTATCTTTTCGCAATTTAGCTGAAATTTTAACTAGCTCATGTGTTTCTTGGCTTGTGGTTCTGATTTGTTCTTGGGAAGCAGCTTTGAATCGTGACAGGTGCAAGTGCGTTGGACATTTTGCGCAAGTTCAGCAATACATCCGAGATTTCTTGGCTTTCGACGCAAGCAGCAACGGAGGTGCAAGCAGTGAATGGACCAGGCTTCTTGCAGCGGCTTACCCTGGTTTGAGCCAATGCACTTTGGAGAGCATGCTTTTCTGGATTGTGGAAAGGGCCATTACTGCCATGGAGGAAGGCTCTGCCCACTTGGACTTTGTGGAGTATGCTTGCGGCCGTGGAAACCTTTCCAAAGCTTTGCTTCGCAAGAACTTCGCTGGTGTTGGGCTGGACATTTTGTGGAGTGCCTGCCACGACTGCTTACAACCGGCAGGTTTGCTGTTGTGGCTGGAATGCCTCCAGGCTTTACGGCCGAATTCTTTGGTGTGGTTTGGCACCAAGTGCAGTTCTTGGGTGAGCCTCTGTGTCAGTTGTTCCCGCCGATCGGCAGAGAACATGTATCATGGAGACTGTGATCGGCCCTTTGTCGTTGAAGGCAACCGACTGATGATGGTCACAAGCCTACTCTACTTCCTGGCGTCATGTTTGGGCCACTTCACAACACTGGAGCAACCTCAGTCCAGCACGATGGTCAAAAACCCATGGCTCCAGAATGTGTTGGTGTGGGTACAAGCCCAAAAATTCACCACGTACATGGGAGCTTTTGGAGCAAGTACTTGCAAACCGGTTCAGTTGTGGAGCACCAGGAGCTTGGATGCCCTACTAAGGGACAAACCTTCCAACTCAGATGAGTCCCTTGCATCCAGGGATGAGAATGGCGGCTATAGTGGGGTGCAACCAGCTTTGCAGGAGTCCGAGGTTTACCCAGAGCTCTTTGGCGTAGCTGTTTCTAATTGTTTTGTGCAGAAGCGCGCGTAAGCGATGCGTGCATTGAAATTCAAAAGCTGCGAGTGCAGCAGAAGGATTGTTCAGTCCCTGCTGTGTCATTGTAGCAAAAATTCAATTTGGCAACTCTGAGATGACCAGGCGTTTTGGTGCAAAAAAATGAGCTGTGGGTTTCGCGCCTGCATCTTTTGCACTGGGCAAGAAGCACTTTGACACATGGTTTGAAGTTGCAAGCTTTCAATTTTGCATGTTCAACCAGAGAGGACATGTTCATTGCTGTGGCTGCAATTTTGCAATGGCAAAACAGTTACAACCTTTTTGTAGAACAGCCTCCCTCAATCCCTCACTGCTTTGCTTTTGCCATTTTGTTTTTGTGGGCAGTGCTTCTGACTGGGCAGGTACCCTAAAGGTTTGCAGCTGGGCAATTCTAGAGTTGTGATACAATGACATGTTGTTAGTTCGCTGTGTCACTGCACTTCCAGCACACAGGTCCTGACAGAATTGTTGAATTGAAGGTGTGTTCAGTTTTGCATCCTGACTTTGAATTTCATGTCTCATTATGGGTCTGCTTGTAGTGTGTGTTTCACATGATTCAAATGTTTGTGATGTGTGTCTTTTTCTCACTTTGTGTCACTGAGGACTATGCATCGAGGCCTGTCACGTGCTTCAAACTTTGTGTGCGACTGCCATTTGTTCAAATGTCATATGATCAAATGACCATATGGAGAAAAACAAATGTTTTCATATGATGGCAAACGTTGAAAAAATAGGTGCCAATCGTGGTTTCATGTTTTTAAAACAAATAGAAGAAACATAATTTGAAAAAAACATGCTAAAATATGTTTAAAAAAACATATATATGAAAATTTATGAAAACTGGGTTTAGTAACTATCACTGATGTAAACCCCACTGATCTGAACCCATGTTTACTTCTGGTGAGCCACAGTAGGAGATCTCCTCAATGGAAATAGATTGTTGCAAGATGCAAAGAAATTCAATGATACAAAAATCAGAATACAATCTTTAGATCCTTCGAGAATCAGATTTCTTTCCTACTCAGACGCTGCATTTGCTACAAGAGAGAAGGCCAATTCCCAGAAAGGTTGCCTGATCATGGCCACCACCGATGGAGTTGATCAAGGTATGACAACACCTGTTAGCCCACTTCTTTGGTTTTCCAAGAAAATAAGTCGTGTGGTTTCAAGCACCCTTGCATCCGAGACATATGCACTGTCAGGTGCATTAAATCTTTTAAGCTGGACACGTATGCACTGGGCTTGGATTCAAAATCTGCAGATAGCTTGGAAGAACATCGAAGACACCCTCAGAACTCTACCTACTGCATATGCTGTTGTAGACTGTAAGAGCCTTTACGACTTGTTGCAAAAGACCTCGATCCCTCAATGTTCAGAATATAGAACACTTCTAGAAGCCTTAGTGATCAAAGATCGTTTAAAGGAAAATGTAGCCATCAAATGGGTTCACAGTGCGGCACAAATGGCCGATTCACTCACTAAAGACATGGACACATCAGTACTGCGAGCATTTTTGGAACAAGGGAAATGTGTTTTACATGATGCGGAGGAGATCCTCAAGCAGCGAGCAGACAAGCGTATTCGGCAGCAGTGGTATCAGCAGAGCAGTTCAGCAGAGTCAGCGTTGCATGTTTTTGCGAAGAACCTTGGACTGTAAGAAATATCATCTCTGCGGCGAAGTCCTCAGGATGAATATCAATCTGACATGGATACAGGGACAGAATTCAGGAAGTTTTGATTTGACTCTCTCTCAGAACAATCTCCTCATACAGCCGAGAACGTCAAAGCAGTTTTTATTTATTAGAGAGAATTTTTAGGAGTGTGATTTCCGCACCATCTCTGGTCAGTGCATGTGATGTTACTGGAAGATTCATGAGACAATGAGTTGTCCCCTAACGGTAGAATGTCCAGCAGGGTTCACAACATCCATTTTACTGCAGGGTGTGCGGCTCAGGGAGGCCGAGGGCTTAGGGTGTGCCCACTTTCGATAGACCTTTTGGCGCGGCCGCCATACGGAGGAAAACAGATTCCATTTGTGGTGCCCAGGGGGCATTTGGTGATCAGTGTGGACCAGGTGGTCCAAAAGGGAACCCAAACCGGCAGGTTGTAGGGACTCTACTACCATTGTGGCTTTGTCTACAATATACATATATATATATATACATATATATATATATACATATATATATATATACATATATATATATATAATGAGACTGTACAAAATGACGTCACTTTATGCAAGGAATGATGCGCCTTTATGCTAGGAATGTCATATTGTTTGACACATACTGCTGTACAAGGCCTATATTATTGGAGAATTTTGCTTTGACAGCAAACCTGAATTTTTATGGTAAAACCTGTTTATTTTTTTTTTATATTTTCTAGTCTTGGCTGTCTGCCTTGTATTTCTACCCATGGTTTTAGGTAATTTTCTGAGAGGGTGCTTGAGCCATGAGAACAGCAAAAAATAGACACCTACCTGGATGGTGTCCAGCCAAATTTTCGAATTATGCAATTAATATCTTGCTGAACCTGCTGCTGCTACTCTTAAAGGATGTGGGCCACAAATTTTCAGAGAATGTTTTGGTCTGAAGTTCATGCTTTGTTTTTTGGTGTTGCTCCAGTTTCTGTGAAATCTCAAGTCTGACATACATTGCAAGGACCCAATATCAAAGACCCAAGATGTTCAAAAACTTTTCTTGGATCCAGATCCAAGATCCAATATCCACAATATCCAAGTCTGAGGTCCCACCTGCTTTCTTAAAATCTAATGTGCATGTGTATCTATAAAAAGTCTTCCAGGTAGATCTCAAGAGGGGAAGGTACCATGTATATATATATATATATAATATTTAGTTCTTTTGGGATGTTGACATATTTATGTCCTCCCCTCAAACAGAAGTATGCGAATGTATTTTCCAAAAAATCGCTCTGCACAAAGATGATTTATCATTCCAAACCATCAAGATTTGAGGGTCCACTGGTATAAAGAAACTGATCTGTCCAATGTTCAACTAATTTCGACATCGTTGACCCTTTCGTTTCAGATTATCTATACCTAGACGGCTAGACGGAGCCAACGGAGACGCTGCACCTTGTACTCCTTACACCGCTGCGCCAGGGAATCCAAGCCCTGCATCACGGTGTCGCCAGGGCAGCCCGGCAGCTCCTTGGCGATGGTAAGTTTTGGGGTGAACCAGGTTGGCTTATTTTCGACTAAGGTCCAATAAAATGGATAACAAATAACAAATGAAAAACACATATGTGACATCTATTCAACTCACAAGTCCACGGTTTTGGAGAAGCAACTTCTTTATTTATTGAATTATTGCTGGACTTGATACGGTTGCTTGTATGTCGTTGTCTGTTTTCCGTGCATGCCCTGCCCCTCCATGGGAAAAGTAGGGGTCTCCAGAAGTCAATGATTTGCATCCTGAAAACGGTACCCTTTGGTAGAGTAATTTAACATAGCTTGACGAATTGCCCATTTGATCCCATTTGTAGATGATTTACCTATTGATTTTTTGACTTTCCACAGACATGTTGAAGAACCACGGACATGTTGAATTACTAGAGGGTAGACCCATTTCTTTCTGACAAAACCTCTGTGGTTTGTTCAACGTCCTCTGATTGCCATCATTTTCGACTCATTTGCCATCAGTGTTTTGCCAAAGAACATAGACCTTCAGGTGAGGCTTCACACCAGGGATGATGTTTCGCTTCTCCAAGGCTTGAGGAAATGGCACGCCTGGCAGTTGTGGAGCCGTGTGAAAATGAAGCCGAAAGACACGGAAACGATGGGAGACGGTCAGCGACACCCAAAAGTTGGACGGTTGAAACATGTTGAAATATGTTGAAACCACACTCCAGCTATGACCAGAATATACCAAACCAGGATCCAAACATATCCAAACCATACAAGTAAAACGTACTAAATTCATCCCAAATCTGAGGGTTTCTGAACTTCAGCTGGACAGACTCAAATCCCCAGTGGACAGCTGTAAATGGCTGTATGGGATGCCATATCCAGTCCATTTGTTTAAAAGAATTTAACCAGGTTCGATAAGAAACATCTCCACATCTTTTGAGTCACCACCAAAAAGCCGTTCGTGAACAGTGAAACACAGTGAAACCATGTGAAGCCATGTGAAACCATGTGAAACCGTGAAACTTTTTCTTTGCAACTGCTTTGCAACTGCCCAGTCCATCCAGTCCATCCAGTCCAACATGGGACGGCACCGTCATCGTCCTTTTGGTACATGGTTTCTGGGTCCAGGATGGCCGCCTCGGCGCGCAAGCGATCCTGGAGGATCCTGTGGGCTATTGTTCCCGCTTGTAGGGCTAAACAATGCTAATTTAGTAATGAACAACATAAACACAGCTTGGAGGGAGATGGTTCATTCGTGTGGATTCCATCCGAATTACAATTTTCTATAATTTTCTGATCTCAAGATATCTCAAGAACATAACACCGACCTATGTCTATATCAGGCTGCAACGCCAAGCAGCACTGAGGTAGTTGTTGATGCCCGGCGTCTCATACAACATCTGTCTGTAGATCCGCCTGGATATGGTGCTGCTTGGATTGATTCCTATCCGTCTATCCGGCCACCTGCATTTAGACGGCAAAATCTGTGAGCCGCGATTTGTGCCCAGATTCCTGGCAAGGATTCATGATTTTTTCATGATTCTTCCATGATCTTCCATGTTCTGCAAGGACTTCAGCCAATGATAGATATCGGGTGAGTACATGGTGGCAACTATTGATCCCCCAACGGTGAATGAAGGTTCCTGGTTTGGATGCAAAACATATCCAAAAACGACAAACAAACTGTAGCACCGCAGTTCAAAATGCTTGGTGGGTAGTTTCAAGCTTAAACAAACCATCTTGAACCCAATGCCGTGGCCAATGCCATGGATCTGACATGCTGAATGTTTCGGAACCATGTTGGCCATAGCCATCCATAGCCCTGACCTGTGCTCTTCGGTGTTCTCCACACCGACGTTTTCGAAGCGGCCGCCGATAGTACCGGGGCCCTGTGATGGGCTTGGGGGGAACTCGTAGATGTCCGAGATGTCCAAAAGGGTAGGAATTCGGGTATTTGAAAACATTTCTTTAGCACATTCGCTTCTGATTTTTGATAGTGATAGTGAATGAGAATGAATGAGAAGGGTCTGTCATGAACGGAACCTCTTTGAAGATAACACCATTTGAACCCGATTGGATCCATGTGGAAAAATCAACTTGTCACTTGACGTGAAAGTGTCAACCTGCACATGAACATCACAGGTATGGAGCATGCTGAATCATCTTACTGGATCGAACTCATTATGACGTTTGGCTCGTCGTGTTCACTGGCTCATCAACAAACCGATTCCCTCATTTTGCATCAACCAGCCTGGCCGCAAACAAGACTTGGGCTCTCAACAGCCAGAACTGGAGTTTTAGTTGTGTCGTATTGTGACTAATTATCCGCAAAACCCCACGGGAAGGATTCCCGCAATCCTTCAATTATTGAAGCGCATTTGTCCCGACTCACCTGCCATGACTTGCCATGACCCACTAAAGTTGGTGCCTCATCGGTCGCTGTGATGCCTTTGCCCGGCGTAGCGATTTTTTGGCAAATGGCCTTGCCGATGGATCGTTGATATAATCAAAAGTTGATGATATAGTTTGATAATGTTTGATATCATGAATGCTCTTGAAAGTTGAAGGGTGAAATGGTCCCCCGGCACTATCCAAAGAATGGTTGAACATCTGCTTGTCATTCAATTTCCACATTCAGAAATCTATGTTGATACTCACACACCAGGTTGTATCAAATTGATTCAAATTGCATCCCATGGCCCATGTGCTGCTGCCTCCAGTTCTTGCTTTCTTTCTGGGCTCAAATGCCTTATCCAACTGTGCAAATCCCAGGTGCACATGGCAGGCGTTGATTTGGATATGGATATATGTCTGACAATGCCGCATAATGGTATGACCAAAAGAAGCTGAACATTTTGTAAAATGCCTGTAGGATAAATCATGATTCACCAAGGGATTTAGGAGAAGAACGAATCAGGTATCAAATGCAAGGAAGAATCGAGTCAGGACCTCATATCCCGAAATAGCTCGCATCATGACAGTGAGAGTTTTTTTTTCCGATTCTTTGACCCTCATGTCACATCTTGCCAAGTGAAAATTACAAAGCAACCACGAAATATAATAAATATTCATGAATCCTCTGCAAAGAGGGGATCACCACGATTAGAAGCAACACGAAAACCAAATTGACCCTTCAACGCTATATCAATGCTATCCATTTTCAATCATGCTTAATCTTTTCGAAACAAAAACTTTTCGCCCGGGCATCAGCTGGGCATCCACGTTCTCCAACGTTCTCCAAGTGACTCGCCGCCGTGGCAGCTTCGATGGCAAACTTGTCGTGCCACCTTTGCTGGCGGTCTTCGCCGTGCGAGCGCAATGCGGCGCTCCGTGGCGTTGCGGCGGCCTCCAATGTATTCCAATAATTTCCAATATGTGTCCTATGTGCTTCGACAAATGGAAGGTCCATCTCTCGGAGTTTTGTCATGTCACCTGAATAGGATAAAATTGATGGTCTTCCTGTCACTTCGTGTTGCTTCCTATTCCTGCAGTCCACCTGCAAGACTAGCTGAGCACGTAAGATTTGATGAGTCTTGTTTCCGTGTATGCTTGTGGATCAAAATTATGGACCTCAAACTTGGATACTCAAAAGACGGGTCGTTTAGTACTTGGTGTCAGATACGACCGGTCTTGTCCCATTGGTGCTCCCGCCTCTGCTAGAGCCAATGGCGCAGAGCAACGCCACTGAGGCGGTGGCGGCAGAGCCTGTGCTGCCTGCAACGGGGTGTCGGGGATGGGGATGGGACATGTCTTGGGTCTTGGGGGAAATACAGAAATACAGTGGCACATGTGGCATACATCATGAATATTCATGGATGATATGGGAAACAAATGGAATAGATGGAAATGGATCAGGCACCATTTTCCCTTGGGTTGGTCTCCCATGTCCAGCTGGCAGCCAGGTCGGAACCCTCATTCATAGAGTATTTCAACATTCCAAGCAACGCCAGAAGTCCATATTATGTATACATACATATACCGTCATATACCTATGTGTGTCTATATATATATAATATACACGTATATACCAGTAGTACCGCACAGGGCGGTGGCGGAAGTTTCAAAAATAGGAAACCTATAGGAAAGGTTGGTTGTTGTGAATCAGGGATGGCAGAGCGAATCCACTGATGGATGGAAAGGTGATGCATGTCTCCTCTCTTTCTCTCTCTTTCTCTGACTATCTACCTACCTACCTATCTATTTTCTATGTATCTATCCAGCTATCGATCTATCTATCTATCTCTCTTTCTCTCTCTTTCATCTGTCTATCTGTCTAGCTGTCTACCTGTCTATCTGTCTATCTATCTATCTATCTGTTTGTCTGTCTGTCTATCTGTCTGCCTGTCTATCTATGGTGCAGTGTCATCCAGTCTAATGCAGTGTAGTGTACTGTAGTGTAGTGAAGTGGAGTGTAGTGGACTGTAGTGTAGTGCAGTGTAATGTAGTGTAGTGTAATTTAGCGTAGTGTAAATTAGTGTAGTGGAGTGTAGTTGTAGTTGTAGTTGTAGTGTAGTTGAGGGTAGTGTAGTGTAATGTAGTGAAGTGTAGTGGAAGGTAGTGTAGTGTAGTAGTGTAGCGTAATGTAGTGTAGTGGAGTGTAGTGTAGTGTCATGTACTGTAGTGTAGTGTAATCTAGTGCAGTGGAGTGTAGTGGAATGTAGTTGGGTAGTTGTAGTGTAGTGTAGTGGGATGTAGTGTAGTGTAATGTAGTGTAGTGGAGTGTATTGGAGTGTAGTTGTGTAGGTGTAGTTGTAGTGTTGTGGAGTGTCGTGTAGTGTAATGTAGTGAAGTGTACTGGGAGTAGTGTAGTGTAGCGTAATGTAGTGTAGTGTAGTGGAGTGTAGTGTAGTGTAATGTAATCTAGTGTAGTGTAATTGAGTGTAATTGAGTGCAGTGTAGTGTAGTGTAGTGGAGTGTAGTTGTGTAGTTGCAGTTGTAGTTGTAGTGTAGTGGAGTGTAGTGTAGTGTAATGTAGTGAAGTGTAGTGGAAGGTAGTGTAATGTAGTGCAGTGGTGTCTATCTGCCTGCCTGTCTATCTATCTATCTATCTATCCATCCATCCATCCATCCGAATCCATCCATCTACCGTGTACTGATACGATCCTCATATTCCTAAATCTATCTATCTACCTACCTGTCTATCCCTCTCTCCCTTTCATCTGTCTATCTGTCTAGCTGTCTACCTGTCTATCTGTGTTGCAGTGTCATTCAGTGTAATGTAGTGTGGTGTAGTGTAATTTAGTGTAGTGGAGTGTACTGGAGTGTCATGTACTGTAATGTAGTGTGACTTCGAAGTGTGCTTCGCGCCACAACGGCGTACACTTTTTCAACATCTGAACCTCCAAAAATGGTCCGAACCCCTAGTGTTTTGGACTTTTTGACTTCGAAATGTGCTTCGCGCCACAACGGCGTGCACTTTTTCGACATCTGAACTTCCAAAAGTGGTCCAGAGTTGGTGTGTTTTGTACATTTTGACTTGGAAATGTGCTTCGCGCCACAACGGCGTGCACTTTTTCGACATCTGAACCTCCAAAAGTGGTCCGGAGTTGGTGTGTTTTGTACATTTTGACTTGGAAATGTGCTTCGCGCCACAACGGCGTGCACTTTTTCAACATCTGAACCTCCAAAAGTGGTCCGGAGTTGTTGTGTTTTGTACATTTTGACTTGGAAATGTGCTTCGCGCCACAACGGCGTGCACTTTTTCAACATCTCAACTTCCAAAAGTGGTCCGGAGCTGAGGTGTTTTGTACATTTTGACTTCGAAATGTGCTTCGCGCCACAACGGCGTGCACTTTTTCCATCTCTCATCTGGCCAGCTGGCTCCGCACCCGCCGCTTTAGCGACTTTTCGATCCTCCGGAGCCCCAAATCATTGGAAAAACCCAGTGTTTCGCAACTTTCCTACCTTTTCTCGCATCTGCATCTTCTTTCTTCTTACTCTTTCTCTTCTACTCTTCTTTCTTCTAATCTTTCTCTTCTCTCTGCCTCTTCCCTGCTCTGCTTTTCATCTGTCCATATTGTCGGAAGTTTGACTTCTAAACTTCCTTCGATTATGCACCGTATACGCAAAGAGCATTCGAGTTCTGACATGAAACTTCGAACAATTGGTTCCGCATGGTTCCACCACCCCGAAAGGCAACCATTTGATTTCCCATTCCATAATCCATTTTCCTCGAAGCTTCAACTAAATATTCGGCTTTTTGCCGCTTTAAACCATGTATCTTGTGATTTTTGGGACCCATTTTTCATGCCTCGGCCATGGCTCTCATGTGCGGCGTTCGCAACTGCCACTGGGGCAAAGCTGACAGGAATTGGAGCCCTGGCCAAAACCCCGTCAGCATGCCGAAAAGGGTAAACTTCCAGCAAACACATTGGGAAAGGAAATCTTTGGAAAGCTATTCCAAGGCATTCAACTTGATTGTCCTGTGGCTTCAGGATGGGAGTCCGAATTTACAGAAATGTGAGGCGGGCAACCTTTGGCTGAGCACGCTTCAATTTCAACAACCGAGCAACTTGGAACAACTTGGAACAACTTCTTGCAAGTCAACCAGATTTTATCCCACCCGTGCCTTGCTGCTATGAAGGCCTCCATGAGGATAATCGGCTGCTGCGAAAGCGATCGGGTCGAGTCCAACCTTCAGCAGGCGGGTTGAGTGCTTTCCTGTGATGGTGTGGGATGCTTGAACAGAGTTCGACAGCCTTTCCTGCCATCGTGAATCAATTCATGATTGGCTTTAGCAGAACACATCAGAATACAGTGTTTGCCATGTTTGTGCTCCGGCGTGCACCAATCTGGTTGACCCCACCAAATACTCGTGCATGACTGCCTGTACAACTTGGAAATCACTGTCTAGTCTGCTGCTGACACGGAGAAGACTGATGGGAGAAGATGACGGAAACAAAAAACGATCCGTCTTAAAACCATGAGCTATTGCCAACATCTGCTGTCTTGGAAAGATACTCAA